CCGACCCAGTCACATGACAGAAACTGCCCAGCCCAGTCACATGACAGAAACTGCTGGGCCCAGTCACATAACAGAAGCTGCTGGACCCAGTCACATGACAGAAACTGCTGGACCCAGTCACGTGATAGAAACTGCTGGATCAAGTCACATGACAGAAACTTCCCAACCCAGTCACATGACAGAAACTGCTGGACCCAGTCACATGACACAAACTCCTGGACTCAGTCACATGACAGAAACTGCTGGATCTAGTCACATGACAGAAACTGCTGGACCCAGTCACATGACAGAAACTGCTGGATCTAGTCACATGACAGACACTGCTGGACCCAGTCACATTACAGAAACTGCTGGACCCAGTCACGTGACAGAAACTGCTGGACCCAGTCACATGACAGAAACTGCCCAGCCCAGTCACATGACAGAAACTGCTGGACCCAGTCACATGACAGAAACTGCTGGACCCAGTCACATGACAGACACTGCTGGACCCAGTCACATGACAGAAACTGCATTACTACAGATTGATACATATATATTTATATACACACAATGTAGGTTGGATTAGCACAGGATTGGTCCAATAGACAAGATGGCAGTATGCAATTACACATTTTTATTGGACTAACAAAATATTTAAAAAACAAACTTTTGAAAGTTATCCTGTCTTTCTCAGGTTTTGCCTTTTTTGTTTGTTTCGTTGCTGTTTGCTTGTTTTTACTGATAAAGGATATCGCGCTACGCTATGTCCATCTGAGCTCCCGTAACTCTGTGAAGATGGGAGCAGGCTAGGTAAACGCCTGCTATGCCTTACACATCAGTGTTAGATGCAATTGGGATTATTCTCTAAATAAAGAATTTTGTGAGATAAAAAAAATAAATCACAAATCCTAGCCCAATATAGCTGGAAATCTTCCAAAACGTGGGTATGTTGCAGGATTTGGTACTTCAATCTAGTTTTATTGTTTCCATAACAATCCATTCCCCTAATTTCCTGGATTAGCACAAATGATTTGTTTAATTCCGGAGATTTATTCAGGTTGCAGAGCTGCTGAGATTTACGTTTTCAATGTAAAGCAAACAATACTATTTGGTAAGCTGCCAGCAGTTAGAGTCCCCTTTTCCGAGGCATTTCCTCCCTGCAGGAATATAAGACAGTGAGGACCACTTTGCAGCCAGTTCTGCTAGGAAGGGGTCAGCAAAATTATCTTATCTTTACATACTGTAAGGTCTAATTGATATATTTGTTCTCTTTGTTATTAGAAGTTGAGTCAAATTACACCAAGTTTGCTAATTATTATTAATGCTGATTACTAATACAAAACATTTTCTCTTACAGTGTTAGCTGCCCGGATGGTTCTTCTTCAGCCTCAGGATGTCCTGTCTGTCCAGATTATGGACACTGCAAGCATCCCGTGTGAATCCAACGAATCAATAGACAGAGGGCTTTCTGTTGTCTGGTTCTATAGAACATGGAGAGTGGAAGACACACCAACATGGATTAAATCATGTAAAGACAAGGACCCCCATAAATATACATGCCAATTAAATTCTAATCAGCAAATTAACTTGGAAATATCCAACGTGCGGGAATCCGATTCCGGAATATATTACTGTGCGTTTTATTTCTCGTCTTCCTTTATTTTCGCCAATGGGACAAAGTTAATTACAGGAGGTATGATGTTTTAAGTAAATATCATCAGTTTTCATTCTAAAGATAATTAATTTTGTATAAAACAGATGATATATCATGATGTTATTGGTTAAGGCACACAATGTTATCTAGTCCTAAATCAGACATATATGGATATACTCCACCGATATCACTAAATAAAATAAGATCAATTTAATTATTAACTTGTAATTTTATTCCAAAAATTCAATATTTATAAACAAAGATGTCTTCTCTCATTACTCACCTCTTTTTCTCAGACAGTGCCACCCCAGAGAGCTCAGTCCATATGCTGGATCCTTACCAGACTCTCCTCCCTAACACCTCTGTCCAGCTGGCGTGTGTGGTACGTGACGCTCGGCACATGGTCCGTGTGATCTGGAACATCTCTGAGATCCATCACACGGGCAGGATGGTGACTATGGAAGATCCCGATGGGACCTGGACTTTCCTTAACCTCATCTCAATTCCCAGAGACACTTGGGATCGCGGGGAGAGCCTGTCATGTGATGTTTTGTTTAATTCCTCTGCTGTCAATGTCTACAGAAAAACACCAGAAACTGGTAGTACACAGAAAAATAGACAAATATGTAAACAGACAGACAATAAGAAGAAAAGATAGTTGCTTGGGTGGATGGATGGTTGGATGTAGACAGACAGACAGACAGATAGATAGATAGATAGATAGATAGATAGACAGACAGATAGATAGACAGACTGACAGACAGATAGACAATAGACATAGATAAATAGATAGACAAATAGATAGATAGACAGACGGATGGATGGATGGATAGACAGACAGACAGACAGATGAAATGTCCTGCTGAATGGCATGTTTAAGGTTTACTTTATTTTCATGGAAATATAACCTTGTACGTTGCTGGTAGTGGACCCAGTTGTGAGACTTTTTAGAAGTTACATATATTAAAATATAGAAAGCTCAATTATAAAAATACTAAAATGTTAGTGATCAAGTAAAAATTCAAAATAAAGTTAAAAATAGCAGCCGATTTCAAAATATTGAGTCAGCTCTAGTAACGTTTCCACTGAAAAGCTACTGTATAGTCACCACATTAAAATCTTCTCATGGTAAAATAGATTTCACTCCACTTGTTAACATGCAGCGGTTTCATTATCCGCCTTCTGTTTGTACTCTAACTGTTGCAAATGTCCTTCAAAAGCAAACACACAGAAAGATATGGCTTTTAGTGAAGTGCTACAACTGATTAGTCACGTAAACCCCAAAGACGAAAGGTGACCCTGACATTAAAAATTGTGAGTTTTTCGAGACATAGTAACTTACTAAGCGTGCATTTTGTTAAACAGAGCAGGAAATGGGGGGCTCTCTCTTATTTATCCAACTCCCACCCAGTTCCTATTCATGAGAAAGCCTGCATTATGAGCAAAATGCGTCAAAAGAGGGAGTATCAGTGCATAGGGTGTCCACAGAGGGAACAGACTTGCGTTCAGCATCTTGCCACTTGTATTTACCTCTATATTGGCTTCATCTGGGAATCAGGCCAGTAATATAAGTAGGCAGTCTATTTTCCCCATGCACCTATCTGTGGGCATCATTTTAGAGACATTAAATCAAATACTGGGGTGAACAGATCTCTGTCCATCCCCTTACACCACCCATGGCCAACAGATTGAGATGATTACATAAAAAATAAAGGTGGGAGACATTAATTTTATCCTGTGAGGATCTGTGTCCTAGTGTCCCCATAACTCCCACCCATGAATGATGATTGAGGGCTATTTATAAAACATACAATAAATAGTTGCATTGCATTATTATGGATCTTATTTTGGCCTTATTTGAGGCTGAAAAAAAGAAGGAAAATAAAAGAAAATGTGTGATGGTAACAGTTGGTAATTCTTTTTACAGGTACTCGTTTCATTGGCTCCCCTCAATAGTATTAGGCTGAGGGGGCTAGAGGTTACAGAAGTCATAGCCACCAATGGGGAACAATGGCACAGATTTGGGGTGAAGATAATATCCACCCCCTTCATATATTTTATAAGCAGCCCCCACCTGCGGCCCATGGGTAGGAGTTGGGGGGGGCACTAGATACCCCCGATTTAAATAAGTAGCCCCCACCTGTTGACCATGAGTGGCGACAGGGATGGGTTATTAGGATGCCCCACATGTATTTAATTCAATAGCCTCTACTCAATGGACACAGAGAGGGTGCACAGTGGATTAACAGTGAATGAAAACAGCTGGGAGGATAGGGGGGACTATATTTCCCCCATTATTTTATAGCAGCAATGATGGTCCAGTCACTAGTTTTTAATGTTTAGCAGATATTGCCCACCTGGTCAGCCGCCACCTAAATAACCCTTCCACCTCCAAGGATTATTTAACTATTTGCATGCTGGCTGCTAGCACTAGTTTGAATTTTGTAAAAACCAGGACCAGATTTCAGACATCTGTCAGCATTCAGTGTGGCTAAAACCCGGACCATTTTCAGGCCCATTTATTTGTAAAATCTGGACATTGTTAAATAATGTGACCAATATCTGAATGTGGCATTCCCAGTAGCTCCATACAGCACCAGATTGTTTTATCCCATTCAGGACAGGACCATTCATCTGGGTTTTTTATTTTATTGTTTAATATTTTATTGTGTCAAATCAACCATGAATCTATGTGCTTAAATTCTATTGGCAACGAACCATCTATGTATTTTTATATAATTTTTTTCATAGTATTTATTAATATATATATTTACACATATTGTACATTTATTAATTCATAATTTGTCTTCTGCTGTTAGTTTTTGAGGACATTCTTAATCATCTGTATTTCATTGCCATTTCTTGATTCACTTTATACATCATTCCCTTTATTAAAGTAGTTTATCAACATTTAAGACCCTTTTCCCCCCTTCTTTGTCCTAAACTAATTGTGATTTTATGTGCCCAGTTTTCATTGCTAATTAACCACTGATCCTGAAATCTTTCTTTGCGTCTCTGATGACATCAACCCCTCTACTTACCAGGCATCCCAACGAAGGGTATTTATATCCAGCATCTGTTTCTTGGACCTCTTTCTTGATAAATTCGCGGCATGAGATAAACGCGTAGACTACAGGTCTTCCTTATACAGCTATTAGTCTTCAGCGCAATATTTTCCACTCGACCGTGGCCTTTTTAAAAGTTACCGGCCGCGGTGAGTTAACGTATCCACCGATTGCCGGCAGATCGGTGTGCTCCCCATCCTGGCGTGGTGTGGTGAACAGGGTAAGTTGCTTTGGGTTGGCCCCAGAGTTATTCTGACCTAGGGTACAACGCCATCACCCTTAGTTCACACACACGTTCGGTGGGTTTCAAAGCTCCCTGCCCCACAGTGTTTTACTATTACATTTTTTAGGTACTCGTTATCGACTCTGGATTTCTTTAGTGGAGGGGCTCCCCACTGGTTATACTGTGTCTATATACTCCGACTTTATCCTCTCTGTTTTATCTTGCATATTGTATATGTGTTTATTAACTATATTTGTTTTATCAACCTACCTTACGATATACAGTCCTAATTTAACGTGTTTTTATTTGTTGTGGGCTGTGATTTATGTATTAAATAAATTCGTTTTCACAACTACCACCAATTTACAGCTAACTGGATCGAGCTTTATATTATTATTATTTTTATTATTTTTATTTTTGTAGCCATAGATCCGTGCCTAATATAGCAACACTGGTACTCACTCACACTTACAGTATACATTGTTGCATTGAGAGTTTTATATTGTGTTTGTTATTTGGTTATATTTCATTATATCTATCGCTGCTGGAGATGAGACTTTGAATGGATTTTATTTTATAGTCATTTTATTATTGTTTTTATTTTCGATATTTTGTATTTCTTACTTGTATTAGCCGCTCTAATAGGTTGTGAAGCAGCCCTTTGCATTATATATAATAATAATAAAACCTTTATATTACTAATTCCTTCCCCTAGTACACTGTTATCTACTTTCAGAATATTTATTGACATATTGCCTAAAGTATCTGTTTTATTAATTTGTTCTAATGACTTGCCACTAAACATTGTCTTGTTTGATTGTGTTTTTGGGGTGAAGCTGCTACATGTAATTCCCTGGTGATACCGACGGTGACCGCGGTCATTCTTCTTCTCCTGGTGCTCTGTGCGCACCTCACCTGGACTCTGAGAAAGAAAGCAGGTAACGTAGGCAGAACATCTTCTAACTATCACTGCTGGCATGTATCAAGCAAGAGAGACAACCAGGCCGCTCGGGCCCTTTGGAAAGGTTGCTCTCAGTTTATGATGTAAAATAGAATATAGTTGGGTAAATAATCTGTTTTAACTTTTATTAAATGTTTTCTTCTTTTGTAACTTATTCTGTATGTTTTTGGTGCTGTTATTTGATACATTTATGGCGCCACCTGCTGTTTACACAGAGGTTTTATTTATTTCGATTTTACGGCTAGTGCATTTAAGATGTGGTATTTACCAACAAATAAAGTGATATGTACCTTCACACATTGCTTGGATACTGTGTTCTAACATTCAGCATAGGCTAATTTTAATTTTGTTTAGATTACAAAAATATTTTAAAGTATATATCCAGTATGTTTTATTTCATTGCAACTCATTGAAAAAAAGTTTATTCCACTTTCCTGCAAATATTCACCAATCAAGTTCATTGAATCAACCTTTATAGAAAACATATGTTTAGTTTCCTGTCTCTCTAACAACCTTTTATTGCCCCCGCGGTACTAACTCAATACCCTCAGCTCCCTCCTGGTGGGCTCTAGGATGCAGTATGCGTGTATTTAAGAACCTTCCTCACCAGTCATTAAAGGTGACCTTATTTAGCAGATTGGCCTTCACCACCACCCCAAGGTATAGGTCACTCACCATTTCTGTATCCAGTAACTTTATAATTATAGGATTATTTACTTACAACCCATGTTTCTCGTTCACGGTTATTGACAAACAAGGAAAGATATCTGTATTCTAGGCAGCCAATCAGATATCAGTATCATAGGTGATGTTTTTATGGTTGGCATTGTTTCCATGAGTTAGAGCAGAGCTGGGCCTGGGAAAGAATGAAAGAGTTTAACTCTTTAGAACAGCTTTGTTCTTCACATCAGCCAATGCTACCTAATGTAATACAGATATTTTATGATATTTAAATGTCCTTAGACCTGCCTAATGCTTTTGTATTATTTATATTTCAGTTACAGCAGCCTGTGAGTCACACAGAACAGAACCAGTGACTCAGGTAATAATGTGCCAGATGGTAAAATGAGAACAAGGGCGATCAAAAGGAATTCAAAAAACAAAAATGAAATGGGTCTAGAACAGAGGTTCCAACCCCAGTTCCAAAGGCTAAGCAAAATTCACAGTATCGGAAAATGCCTGAATTGGGAACTTTCGGTGCACTGCGAGTTTATTAGTTTGTCGAATGTATCTTTCATTAAGTAGACATTGAGATAACATGACTTATTGGATGCGATTAGTGTTCATCTATTTTATATTATGGGGAATGTTTTTTAATATCAGAAGCACTAATGACGGGGGACTGGATAACCCTCTGACACAGTATTTTTTCAGAGAGAACCCCCTACACTGTTTTCGCACCGCATTCTGCAGGCACATAACCAAGGGTTTGTGGGTCTATTTATTAGTCATCCATGTTTTATTATTATTTTATTATTTATATAGCGCTAGCAAATTCCGTAGCGCTGTACAATGGGTGGACTAACAGACACATAGTTTATAAAGAATCTGAGGGGGCACGGCTATTTTATATTTAACCTCCCCTATACTAAACAGCAAAATGAAAATCACAAGGTCAAACAAAGCATGTGTGACAAAATGAAATAGGTTTACTCATCATGTAAAACCCTACAATAATGTGACGTTACTTGTATTTCAGTAAACGGCAATAAGATAGCGACAATGCATGTGTTCAGTGTCTCTTAACCGGGCATGTCTTAAAGTTGGCAAAGAAATCCCAAATTGTATCCCTCAAAAGATAATATGGAAAATATTCAAACTGAAATCATTTTCAAATATGACTACTGTGTCTTAAAATGTACCATTTTTTATCTTCTCTCCTGAATGTTTGGTTATGGAACTCAGAATGTTTTATTAAGCTTTTTCTGTTTTTCTGTTTTTTCAGGAAAGAATTATTTATTCACAACTGGACGTATATTACCTAACAAACAGAAAATAGCAGGAATGTACACTTCCCAAAAAACGCCATAATGACCAAACTATTATGTTAGCCAAATAATTTAAAATTCTATTCCACTTTTTTTGAAATAATTTTGTTTTATATATATATATGTTAACATCTTTGGGAATTTTATTAGAAATGTATCTCAGGGTGCAACGGTGACGTGTGGGACGTAACACACACCGCTCAGCAGGAGACACAATGACCGGAGCCACGAGGAGTTTGACACTTAACTTTGTCTGCTCGGGCTGTGGAGGTATCTGAATTCCCTGAGAAAATACAGCGGAAGGAAGGATTCACATATAACACACAAATGCAAATTACACTGCAAATACAAGTCATTATTGGTGTCTAATTGTCTGAGAAAAGTGGAAAATATAATTGAGAAAAAAGGAGTAGGGAGTAGGGGAACATAATTGGGCAGAATACAATCTGAATACAGTCTGAACCCAATAAAAAAAACAAAAAACAGGAAACTAAATTCTTGGAATTCCACTGACAAATATAAGAAAATAAATAAATACCTTCGGGCAGTTAATGAGTTGAGTGAAGATATTGAGGCTGACTATAATTAAGCATCGGAGGTGTGGGAAGTAAAAAGGCAACAAACCATTACGAAATGATACAGATTAGTTGGAACCATGTCTACCGGTTCAAGAATGCAGATAGAGAACATCTGATCTACATGACAACAAAGTATATCAAGTCTTCCAAAGACGATATTAGTACAATAAATCGGCATATGAGTTGGATAATAAAAGTAAACAATTAACCAGAAGGGGAACATAATGTTTATAAGTGAACAGTATAAATGTTTGAACATAAAGTCCAAAATATATTTATCCCAAATGAAGGAAACGTAAATATAGGAGCTATGTGTTGCCTTTTTACTTCCCACACCTCCGATACAAGTATATGTATCTATATATCTCTTTCCTCTCGGAATACCTATTGCTTCTACATTAAGGGTGTGTATCAAACATTAACACAACATTATATTAACACAATCTTTATCTATATAGCTGATATTTTGTAAAACATTTAGTAGATTTTAAAATATCTTAAAATAAAATATTAATAAATATTTGGATCTATTCTAAATCTAAGACTTATACACGGTCTACCTATTTGCCTTTTTTCTTCTATTAAGAGTATTGCAATCAGACATATTACTCAGTGATTATCTCCTTTTATTTATTTTTTGCTTTTTACTAGAGGCTAACTTTCATAAGGATACCAGTTCACAATAACTTAACAACTTTCCTTCACGTCATCCCAACCCTCCAGCCTGATTGGTTGAATCAGCATCCAACCAGAACTAAGGGCGGGATATTTAAATCTCCGGTATTTTAGATTCGTTTCCCCCAGAAGAGCCATTATCTGGTGAAACGTGCGTCGGGACAGTTAGAGCTGTGGTTGGCTGAGTGACTATGGATGATGATGCAACTAATTTCTAATATTTAGACAAGCCACCATGCTGTAATTCAAATGATTCTCAGTAGGGAGAGGGGGACCTAATAACCCAATAGTGCCCTACAGGTTTGTTTTCCTGGCACTATAGTGTTCCTTTAAGTAACCATATAACACTTCATAATATTAAGCTTTATTAAAGAGATAGTTTGGTCAAACCATAATGCTCTTATATGGGTTCTAAAAAGGGGGAGAGGAACACCCTAAACAAAGAGAATGGAGACTGAATGAAAAACTATTAGCAAATAAAGAAAATAAAGCAAATGTCGGGAAATGACCGACTTATTTTTTAAAGAAAACCAAAATTCTGTAAACTCCAAATACTAATTATGGTGCACATTTAAAAGCGTATGTAGAGGATATCTGACAAATATGCGGGCTATAGAAAACAAGAAGAGAGGGAACAAAAGGAGCCTTGAAAAATTAAAACAATCTGGGTATTTCAAAAATAATAAGGCAGACAAGATGCCGTCTAATCAACTAAAAAAAAATAACAAGCTATCAATAGAATAAAATATGGGAAAGGAGAAATGTATGTGGACCTGAAAGGAATAGGAAAATGTTTTAATAAATATTACTCTAGTCTGTATAATTTACCCCTTAAAACCGATTTAGAAACTTTTAAAAAAAATATCTACATGAAAGACAAATGCCGAAAATCGAATTGAAACAAACTAATGAGCTAAACAAACCTTCACAGAAGATGAAGTAAAAAGGGCCATATTAGATCTGAAGAAAGCAAAGCCACCAGGCCCAGATGGATACACCGGAGTTTTTTATAAAGTATTAATGGGTGAATAGAAGTCCTTATCTGATGATGGCCTTTAATCAAATGGGGAACAGTGGTAATTTCTGAGGGCAAATATTATTCCCATCTTAAAAGAAAAAAAAAAGAAAATGTGATTAACTTCAGACCTATTTCTCAAATTAATTCAGATGCTAAGATTTTTTTTTCTCTGTACGTGTAAAATACTATCTAGATCAGGGGTTGTAACCTTCGGCACTCCACATGTTGTGGACTGGATCTTCCCTGATGTTTTGCATTATGGCTGTAAGAGCATTACAGGACATTTAGTTCACAAACTCTGGAGTGGTGAAGTTTGCTTACTGCTTACCCCGATCTAAATAACTCATTAAATCTTGCCCAGCAGTGTGTCTTTAACCCCTTAATGACGAATGACGGACCCGGTCCGTCATGCCGGTAAAGTACTTAACGCCGTATGATGGACCGGGTCCATCATGCGATAAAGTCAACCCCAGATCGTGGGGTTAACGCTCCTCCAGTCTGCCTCAGTATTTGAGGCAGACCGGCAGCAACCGATCGCGCGGTCCCTGCAGCTGTGACTGCTCTGACAGGCTGTCAGAGCAAGAACATGTGCTGCAGGGACTTCTGATCTGCCTCCCTGTGCTTCCGCGTTCTGTGTGAAGTACAGAGATATGGATCACTGCTGATTATCAACCTGTGGAAAAAAAATATATATATATTTAGTTTAAAATCCCAACCCCCCTTTACCCATTTTGAATATAAAATTAACCCCTTCCCTGCCAATTGATCACTGACTACATTTTACTGTGATCTAAAAAAAAAATTTTTAACCCATGAGAGTCAACTTTTATTTTTTGCAACCCTCAGGGGTTAAATCATTGTATTAATTAATTTAAATATATTAAAATTATATATTTAGATAGCTGGGGTGGGTGAAAGTTAGTGGGAATTGAGGAATATGGTGTTAGGCTAGCTAGGGGCTCACGTTATTTAAAAAAAAAGTTAACAAAAAAGTTTTAATAACATTTAAAAAAAAGTTTAAAAATTCCCACCCGCCTTTACCCAGTCCTAATAAAAATTAACCCCTTCCCTGCCAGTTGATCACTACCTGCAGCGATCAAAATACAGATCACAGTATTATACCGTGATCCTATTTTTTTTTTTTACCCTCAGAGGTTCAATTTATTTAATTAATTAATTTAAATATTTAAAAATTATATATTTTACTAGCTGGGGTCGGTGAGAGTTATGGGAAATTGGGGAATTTATTGTTAGTGCTGCTTACTGCTAGTTGGGGTTAATGGTAAAATATTTTTTTATAAAAATGTTAAATGTGTAAAAAAAGTTTTAGGAAAGTTTAAAAATTTTAATAAGCCCCCCAAAAAGTTTAAAAACAAGTTTTAAAAAGTAAAAAAAAACAAAAGTAAAAAAATACATTTAAAAATGCTCATTACCACTACACCTGGAACATACTGGCGAAAAAATGAGCCCACGCTAAGGTTCAAAATATGCCATTTGAATTACCCCAGGGTGTATTCTTTAATACATAGCATGTGTTTGTGGGAAAGTTTGAATAACCAACCAGCTTAATTACTCCAAAATGGAACATGGACACATCGTAAAACTTCAAAGTTAGAAAAAAAATGAATGGCTGGATCTCAAATGTGCCCTTCAATATGCACTTATAACGCGGCAAACGTACATACGGGGGTATTGCTGTACTCAGACGACATAGTTGAGCAACATATGTAGTATTATACAGTTGTAGCACACATACGGTTTGCAAAATATACTGCGCAAACTCACTTTGTGTGTCAAAAAGGTAGAAAAAATGCTTATTACCACTACACTTGGTACAAGCTAGCGGAAAAATGAAAAGGTTCAAAATATGCCTTTTGAAATACCCTGGGATGTCTTCTTTAGGAATGGTATGGCTTTATGGGTATTTGTATTATATAGCCTGCTAAAATACTCTAAAATGGGACATGGGCACAGCGTAAAAATGCAAAGTTTGAAAAAAAATGGAATGACTGTCTCAAATGTGCCCCTTTAATGTCCACATATACCTGTCAAAGGTACATACGGAGGTATTGCTGTACTCAGATGACATAGCTGAGCAACATATGAAGTATTATACAGTTGTAGCATGCATAAAGTTTGCAATATATACTTTACAAACTCACTTTGTGTATCAAAAAGGTAGAAAAAATGCCTTTACCACTACACTTGGTACAAGCTAGCGGAAAAATGATCCCATACTAAGGTACAAAATATGCCTTTTGAAATACCCTGGGATGTCTTCTTTAAGAAATGGTATGCCTTTATGGTGTAACTGTTATTTGTAGCCTGCTCAAGTGCTCCAAAGTGGGACACAAACGCATCAAAACCCTCCATGTAAATTCACACTTAAAAACCTGAACTTGTCACGTCTCTTTCACAGCACTGTAACTTCACAAAATAGTGTTTATGTCATCCATTGGGCATATTGTTTCATTTGGAAGATGTAACTAAGAAATAATTTGTTTGTTTTTTTATGACAGGGGTACATATTAAGTGTAAGAAATACTCGGCAAAAATGCAACATATATATAAAAATGCTATTTTTTCCCCCTCACCACAAACATTGACATAAATTGGTGAAAAAAATGGTGACATGTTAAGGCACAATATACACCATATAAGATACCCTGGGGTGCCTGCTTTATCAAATGAAAGCCCTTTGTGGGGTTATTTGAACAGTCACACTGCTATAATACCCTAAAATGAGACATAGGCCCGTCAAATCCGGTCAATAGTTGATATTTTATTTTACTCCTTGTATTTTGTGACCTGTAACTTTCAAAATGAGCTAAAATCCTATAAATATGATGTACTCTATAATTCAAGACACATAAATGAATTTATTTTGAATTACTTTTTCTAAGCTGGGTATATTATGCACACGCTATAATTGCCAAAACTGTGAACAAAAATAATTTTTGTTAATTTTTGGCAGTTTTTTATAATTAATGAGAATGTATCTATGTATATGTGACAGCAAATTATTAAAGCCCTGTTTGCCCTCTAAAGAACGATGTATAAAATGTGTTGGTGCAATAAATGACAGAGAGGCAAATTGCGTTTGAACACAAACAGCAAAAAATGCAAAATAGGCTTGTGTCCTTAAAGGTAAGACAAGCTTCTGAAGCTGTGTCCTTAAGGGGTTAAATGTGAATATATTGCCTATTATTTCTTCAAAATGAACTCCCTAATAATGAAAGTCTAGACAACTCAATAAATCCGGCAGTATATACGATATCATTGACCATTAAGGGGTTAACACTG